CAGTATAAAAAACTTGCAACTCATGCTAAGCATCTGGCAGATACAAATATGATGTACTTTTGTGCACCGAAAAGTTCATTTCCATTTGACAACATTTTTTCTCTGCTTTGTTACTGAATTGAGCAACACGAGAGTTGAAAACAGTTTAAAAATGTGCAAGAGTACATGACACATTCAAAGGTTATATTTAAACGTTTAAAACAAATCGAAAAGAAAGAATTTGATGAAAAATGTTCGATGGATAAATTTGGTAGCCCAAGGTTTAAGCAAGTCACATTTAACTATGAAAATCGATGAAAGCAAATCGGAAATACAACTCAGCAGATCATCCAGTAAACAATGAACAGAAAAATATTATACGACAGCCATTATTACTATCTTGTTGACAAGAGCTCAAAAGCGGTTCGAACTATTAAACTATTTAGAAGGAGTATTCATCATGGATTGACATCAGTTGAGGAACCATTGAAAATCTGGGAGCACTGGATAGCTGTTTCGTCCTAGTATGGGACTCAGCATTACGCACCCACAACCCGGATAGGGGTCGAACTCAGGACCTTCAGGTTTCCCGAGGAACGCGTTAACCATTCAGCTACTGGGTCGGTTTCCAGTGGTTCACAATTTTCAACTTCTGTCAATTTACGACATAGCGCGACCGTCACCCAAGGTCTTCAGTTAGCATCCACTTCACTTCCGACTGGTTGACCCCACAGATCGACCCCTAGTCGGGTGGTGGGTGCGTACTGCTGAGGAGTCCCATACTAGGACGAAACAGCTGTCCAGTGCTCTCAGATTTTCAATGGTTCTCCAACTGATGTCAGTCCATGATGAATACTACTTCTAAATTAAAAGTCCCCATTCATCTCAAAAATATATTAAACTATTGGTTGAAAGTTGACTGTCTACATTCATGAGTTACAGTTGTAAAATGATTGAAATTCTCTACTCAAATGAAGAATAAATAAATGAAATATCATGTGAAAGGAATTTAATTAACTGAAATTTGATTGCTAACACCCAACATCAAGCATTACATAAATTGTCACATTGTAAATTTTGAGAAGTAGACTTCCAACAGAATTTATCATTCGGTGAATAACTCGCGCAATTCAACAGCTTATGGACACGTCATGCTAGAGGAATCTGGTTTAGGTTGGAAAGAGATTTAGAGTGGTCACACCAAGATGTGAGACCAATGAATAAAGTTCCTTGCTGTTGGTTTGAGCAGTATAGGAAGATATAAACTGGCTGGCTGGGATCCCTACGGCGATAGTAACCAGCGGTTGATGACACGGCCGATAACCGATCACAGTCACAATGGCTTGAATATTTGCACTACCCTTTATCTTAAGAACGAAAGATTCTTTAATAAATCAACAAGATATGAGACGATCAACAAAGAACAGAAGTTAATCTTAATCGAAGATAGTTAATACTCGATTTATTTTCTGTACAAATACCATCAATGCTACAACAGGCGTCATAACACTTAAACAACTCACACAAGTCTTATCTTCATCTCAGGCTAAAATTAACAGTCTGACATTTAGTGAAGGCTTTATTTAACTTGAGACCATTTGAGATTATCTATTGGTCAATAGGAGACAAGAATGCATATAATTGAGAGCAATGTAAGTGAGAGTTGAGTGGAATAGAAACCATCAGGTGATCCATATACTCAATGAAATTAGTTTCGACAGAATGATTTGAATCATGAGGAAATAAGGAGAAGAGAAACGGAGAAAGGTACTGTGGTTTGAGTGAGGCATGTCAGCTTCAGTAAGCAATGAAGTGGGGCGCCTCCCTTTACAGATGGTATACTGTTTCTTTTCAGAAAAATAATCCATGTCTCAGTATGACTAATGCCAAGCTTACTTAACAAGAGTAGTCTAGAAACACAGCCAAAGACTGATGTGTAATGCAGCAAAATACTTAGCCTCTTTCTAAAACTAGAAACAACATTATAATGCAAGACAATGGCATCATCTAAAATACTTCTCCTGTGTTGTCTTTAGTCAAATTGTTTTGGATTTCTGAAAGCCTTCAATGAAAGTACAGGTACAAAGAGGAGTAATTTCTCCATAATCTGCAAAAAGGCGGTAGTTATAGCGATGGGTTGAAACTTAACATCTGATCCAGAAGATGACTTAGGCACAGGTGCAACTTGAGTCTAAAGGTTAAAAATGGTAGAGATAAACAAAAAAGAAAGACCATCCCTGTGGACTACTTCAAGAAACCCCAATTAATTTGTTACTCACGCACCTGTTATAAAGGAGAAGGTAATTAACTCTGGGTTCAAAATTACGACCGGAACAGGCTGACTGGCTTCAGGTAAAACAAATCATGTGCTGATCGAATTGTAACGCTACGCTACGCATCATCATAGAACAGAGTATAGAATGGTAGTTAACCCTCTACCTTAACTCAACTTCATCGACTTTGAAAAGGCCTTTGACAGCGTCGACCGAGAAGTAATTTGCCAGGCAGTTGCTTCAACACTACGGAATACCACAAACCTTTATCAATCTCATTCAACAGCTATATGAGGATGCCACATACCAAGTAATTCACAGTGGGAAGCTCAGTGATGCCTTTGAAGTGGACGCGAGTGAAACAAGGCTGTCTATTATCACCCATGATATTCCTGATTGTGGTCTACTGGACTGGGTCATGCAACAAACAGTGAGGAGTGAGAAGGTGGACATGCGCTGGACCGATGAGAAGAGCCTAGAAGACTTGGATTTCGCCGATGACTTGTGTCTAATGTCTTGTCGCACAAACTCGAAGATCTACACGCGAAAACTAATAAGTTGACAGAAGGGGCGAGGCAGCGAAGACGGGACTTCAAGTGAACGTAGAGAAGACAGAGGTGATGAAGATACCCAACCAACAATAGCATCAACAACAAGCACCAATCAACATTAACGGGAGAAACCTAAAGGAGATAGTCTCCTTCACCTCTCTAGGCGTGGCAGCATCGTTTCAACTACAGGTGGTAGCACAGACGAGGATGTCAAAGTAGCCAGGATCAGAAAAGCAAGACAGGCTTTCATCAATTTGATATCAGCGTAAAGATCTAATGCGCTCAGCATGTGGAACAAGATCCGCATTTTCAACACCAATTCAGTCAGTGCTTCTATATGGTTCAAAAACTCGGCGTGTCACGAAAAGCACTTCCAACAAACAACTGCAGACATACATCAACAGCTGCCGACCACGCTCACTCGATACTGACACTACAGACCGGATAGACGGCCAGAAAGAATAAGCAAAAAGGAACTCACTGTGACTGGCAATGAACCAACCAACAACCTATCACTCAACAAATATGCAGAAGAAAGTGAAGATGCATTGGATTGGGCATGCACTGAGAAGACCATTCGAGGACATCAAGCGCCAGGCTGTTGAGAAGAATCCAAATGGGAGACGACGAATTGGGCGTCCCAGCTAAGGATGACATGGAGATCATGTGAGGAAGAAATGAAAGCTTGTGGGCAGTTATGGTGCCAGGTCCAAAAGACTTCAGAGAAGAGAGTGGAATGGAGGCGTGCTACTGAAGCCTTATGTTCCACCAGGAACCCACGGGAATAATAATAATAACAATAAAATGGCAATAAGAGATGACCAATATTGGCTTTCAAACAGGTCTGTAATTTGCGAGGACACTTATGGAAATTCATAACGAAGCAAGATCAACTCATGGGAAAAAACTATTTTCTATTTCACAGCGCTAATTTGATACCTGAACTTTCTTCATCATATTTGCTTTTACACCATCAGACAGTTGTTATAGAGTGGTCCATTTGAAAACGATTACAGTTACGTATGTAGAATCCATTAAAGGCTATGTTGTATGAATAATTCAATTCTTGAACACTTATATCATTGATACGCCATCCATCTACCCTATACAAATCAACATATGATCAGGCATTACTGCGTAACACTCCGAGTTGCCACCACACATTATCTCATTTCAGTATATCAAGTACAAAAGGCAGGCAGATGCAAGATCAACAAAACATAATTCAGTCAAAACAAATATAAAGTATGAAAAGAGAGATAGAGAGGAAGAATGAGATAGCGGTGAGATTCGGTATAGTATCGTTAAGATGAGGACAATGTGTGTGTATGTGTGTGTACATCTGCGCCATTCACATCGGTTCTCAGCCATATCACCTACAGTCAGTCTCCAACCAATGGTTCATCTTGTCCCGCCAACCCCAACCACCTAGTTTGCATCGTCCCATATGGCTCAGACCAACAGTCAAACACTTCATACATTGACCCCATGTTTTAGTCTGGCCACCTCAGGCCTTTTTCAAGCTTGCACCTACTTCCCCCAACATTGTGTGACGAGGCAATCCACGACTAAGCACACGTAACACATACCTCAACCATTCCAGTCCATGAAGGTTCATAACCTCGTCAACCGACTTACCTCTTCTCCCTAAAACTCTACGCCTCAGCCTGACTTCTGCACTACTCACATCGTGACACCACGGAATACGTCCTATACTACGGAGACAACGGTGATCAAACACCTGAAGCCTTCTCTTGTTTTCCACCTTCAATGGGCATATTTCACAGCCATAGAGTAGAACAGAGGGGACTGCTGTGCAGTATACGTGACCCTTAGTAGACAATCGGATATCACGACGGCGCCATAGGTGGCGTAAATTGGCAAAAGTCAACCGATTCCAGCCAGTGATCTCTGAATTCTTCATTGAAGTCGTTCCTTCTTTGATGGCTCAGTCGAAATATTGAAGCCTTCAGCGTAGTTAGGTGAAATATACTAACTGCCTATCTAAAATGGCAGAGCTGTGGCTCAGAGGTATAGGAAGATAACTATCAACCACTGGGTTGACAGCCAGCTAGTATCACTAGCCCTCACACAATAAGTGTGCCTCACTGCCTATAGATGTGCACAAGGTGGCTGAGTGAGTTCCTTCATCTTTTCTCCATCCAAAATAACGTACATAGGGCGAAAAGGTAGAACAGTTCATTCAAGTCATTAAACTATACAATGTTAAAACGAGGTGTAAATATACAAATTGAAAAAAAAACACCAGATTATCAAAAACAATTTATTTACAATACAATCAGGATAATAGATTATTATTATGATGATTATTTCGATTGTCTTTCAAAGGACGCCAAAACACTGAACATGCATATCGACCATCTGTAATTCTCGCCAAGAAACCAGGAACAAGCCAACCTATTTGATTATCTAATGACTCAGTACACGAAATATGCAATTTTTCATTAAGAATATTCATTGGAGTTAACCTGTCCAGATAATTTGCGGTGGTATTCAGTTTGGCAGAAAGTTCTTTGTTTGCATCGACGCATCTTATAGCATGTGAGTACTAAAATACATATGTAGACAGAAAAACAGAATCAAAGTAGCACCTCACATAGAAGCGCATCGTCTAAAGTTGACACACTTCACTGAAGTATACACTCAGCACATGGATAGAAAACGAGCGATGTCAAAGTAGATAATGTTGTGTGAAAGAATAAAGATTTTGAAGACAAAGTCTGGTGTAAATATTCAAACTTTAGGAGACATCAAGGAGTGTATACATCTGAACCATTGCGACTTTGACCGATTCTCAACCAAATCATCAGGAGCTCTCAATCATTGATTCCTATCGTCTCGGCAACCCCAAATAGGCAGTCTATATCTCCATACACAGCTCAGACTAACAAAATAAGGACTATTACCACTTCTTGGTCTGGTCACCCTGAACACTTTTAACCCAAAGCAACTTTCCCTAGCACGGGACATCAAGGTAGGCAGTGAATCGGCATCTGCAACACATATCAAAGCTATCTCAATCGACTTCCCTCGAATCCCTAGTATCCTTTGCCTGACCTCAAGATTGCTCACATGGTAATTCCACCAAATGGAAGCAATGCTACGAAGACATCTGTAGTCAAAAACCTGCAATCACTTCACGTCGAAGACTTTCAATGGTCATGTCTCACAGCTGTTTAACAGGACGGAAAGGATGGCAGCGCAGCATACTCATTCTCTGATAGACAGATATCTCGCCATTCAGTCACCTAGATGACGGGAGTTGGTGAATGCCAATAATAATAATAATAATAATAATAATAATAATAATAATAATAATAATAATAATAATAATAATAATAATAATCCACTTTATTCCAAACAATTTGTGGTACAATTTGGAATTCTCAGCGTAATATATATTGCAATAACAACAAAATATAAGTATATACATACTACTTTGCAGCCTTTCGAATTGTTTTATTATAAAAATTTAAGTTATGTGAAGAATATTAAAAACGAGAAAATTTTGCATTGTAAGTTAAATTATTGAAATGAGATTTTTAACTGTCACAAAGTTGATGTGTGATTTCTGTTCTAACACTTTTTTCCTCACAAAATATACGTGCAAGGTAAGGTACAGTCGAATTCTTATACTTAGCTGTACGAGCATACAGTCTTATGTAGTTTCTCCTTGTCCTCCCTGAGGAGATACATGGAGAGAGCTGTAAATGAAGTGGATGCTCACTGTCAGTTAAAATTTCTGTAGCTAGTAGCTTGCAGGAATTTATATGTCGATCAACTACAGTGTTAATCAGTTGAGCCAGAGACACACCACTCACCCTGCTGACGGTCTTCAAAGCCCTACGCAACATAACATAGTCCTTTTTAAGAAGACCAGGAAAGATTAATGGGGAACAATATAGAAGAATAGGTAAAATGCAGGAATTAATAAATTGTAAAAGAAGCAGTTGAGTTATACCAGAAAGCCTCAATTTCTTTACGTAATAAGTTAAACGAAAGATTTTTTTACAAGTCAATAAAATATGGGACGACCAACAAAGGTCAGAAGTAAAACGCAACCCAAGATAGTTCACACTCGATTTACTTTCTGCAGAAATACCATTGATGCAGCAGGCGTCATGAGATTTAAGCAGCTCACATAAGTCTTGTTTACGCCTGAGGCTAAAATTAACGGTCTGACATTTAGAGGGGTTTAGTTTGAGACCATTTGAGAGAGACCATTTACCAACTTCAGACAAGAATTCATTTAATTTCGAGCAATCCAAAGAAGAGTTTACTGGAATAGAAATCGTCAGGTCGTCAGCATACTTGATAAAATTAGTTTCAACAGAATAAGGCAAATCGTGCAAAAAAAGGAAAACAGAAAAGGAGAAAGTACAGCACCTTGAGGCACACCAGCTTCAGTAAGCAATGAAGTCGAGCGCATCCCTTTATGAATAGTGTACTGTTTCCTTTCAGAAAAATAAGAATGCAGCCATTTTGTAACCCATGGATCAGTGTGAGCTATGGCAAGCTTATTTAACAAAAGTGGTCTAGGAACAGAGTCAAAGGCTGATGAGTAATCCAAAAAGGCACAACGGACATACTTAACACCTTTGTCGAGACTAGAAACAATATTATGATGCAAGACAGTAGCTGCATCTAAAGTACTCCTCCGGTGTTTGTAAGCAAACTGTTTTGGATCTCTGAAGGCCATCAATGAAGGCTCAATCACAAGCAGAAGTAATTTCTCCATTGTCTTCAGAAAAGGGGAAGTTATAGCGATGGGTCGAAAAGTAACATCTGATCCAGAAGATGGCTTAGGCACAGGTACAATTTTTATCTGCTTCCAAGCAGTGGGTATTATGTTTTTAGAGAACGATACATTGAAGATATCTGTAAGTGGATGACACAAAATATCTGCACATTTTCTAAATATGATACTAGAAACACCATCAGGACCTAAGCTTTGGGAGGGATTCAAAGACTTTAGACATTTAAATACATCATTTGTATTGAAACCTGGAAAGCAGCTATCCACTTGATTTTGCACATTAGGAAGGGTGAAATTAGCTTGCCGACGTATAAATGACTTGTTTAACGCACAGACATCCGAACGAGTTTGTGTTGTCATCTGTTTTTTACCAGTAAGCTCTTTAAATAATTTCCATATATTGGAAGAGTTCTTACACGATAAGAACTTCTTGTTGTATATAGTATTCAGACGTTGTATTTCAGACTTAATTAGGCAGTTAAGCCTTTTAACGCCAGGGTGATCTCTCGCCTTATACAACCTTTCCTTTTCTCTCCGAAGCCTCTTGAGATGAGGAGAGGAAAGTCTGTCAAATCTCATGTAAATTGTTTCAGTAGGGCAGCAGATATCGAGACAGAATCTGAGATAGCTTGTGATATTGGTAATAGTGTTGTCTAAAACTTCATCAGCAAATATATCCCAGTCCGTTTCTATAAGCATGCTTCTCAAACGTAATATATTTTCTTGTGAATAGCATCTGTATTGAACTTTCCTTGAAAGGTATGCAAAAGCTTTCTTGTATAATTTTCCGTACACTTTAGGCAAAACACGAACGATACAGTGGTCGGAATTTAGCAGTGGAGCCCGTTTACGGGCTTCATATATGCCAGGTTCATTTGTAAATGCAAAGTCTAAGGTGTTGTCAAGACGAGTGGAAAAGTTAACCATATTTTTATGACCCAATGATAATAGAAAACTGTAGTCACATGAGTTAAAATCACCACAGACAATAGACAAGGAGTTTCCCAGAACCGGAGCAGCAAATTCAGTGAATTTATCAGCAAAAGTTGACAAATCTGAGAAACTGCAGTCAGGTGTGACATACATGTTTGTGATATATATGTATTTGTATTTGCTCAAATGTTTGGGACGACATTTGATGGTAATGCACTCAATTTTTTCGTTAGAGAAGCAGAAGCATACATAGTTGGAGGAGGACCAGTTAGTACTAATAAATGTTGCTACAACACCACCACATTTCTTCTTCGAAAAGCTTCGATCTTGTCGAAATAATTTGAAACCATCTAAGCAGACTAAGTCATATTTTTTTTTTTTTTTTTTTTATTTTCCTGCAGCATTATTACACCCGTGTTTCGATAAACATTTGTGGACAAGAGTGACTGAAGGTAATCAACTTTATTCGGCAACGACCCGTTATTATACAAGGAATGGGCAACAATAGTCAGCAGCCAAATGGATAAAGTAGTTTACTTTTATATAGTTAATCTATCAGTATCCGACAACTGTTCAGAATGATCACCTGCACTTATTCGTTTCAGTTGTTTTGAAACTAGTAATCAACTATTCGTCTTGATAAATGAGCATTCAAACTGAATTTTTGTATGAAGTTCATTACCAAAATGTTAAGTGTTTTGATTCTCTATACCGAATCTTGGATTTACAAAGGTATCGTCATTTCGACTATCTGAGGTAGCAGTCATGGTTCCTTAGACTAGTATTTATACTGGCTGATGATTGAAAGTGAAATGAACATTTGAAACGCGGCTGGATTCGAACTGGCAACCATTGGGTTCCCCGTCCGATGATCTACCAACTGAGCTACGAGGTTTGACTGCTGACAGATTTTTATTTCACTTCAATCACCAAGGATTTTGCCCCACTACCATGTGAATTCATGAGTTCTGGTCATCAGTCGGACCTCGTAGCTCAGTTGGTAGGTCTTCGGGAAGCAAACCCAGTGGTCGCTGGTTCGACTCCCCCTGCGGTCCAAATTTTCATTTTACCTTCAATCATCACGCAGCAAACATACTAGTCTGGCAAACCATGGCTATCTCAGACGTTCAAAATGATAATCAGTACGATGCTGCCCCCCCCCCCTCTTAAGAAATCCTGACTAGGCAGCCAGAGTGAATAAGATAAAGAGGTAGTGATGCATCAGGAGTTCACATGGTAACCGGGCAAAACCCATGGTGATTGAAGTGAAATAAAAATCAGGTCGAACCTCGTAGCTGATTTCGTAGAGCGTCGGACCGGAAACCCAGTAGTCAATGATTCGAATCCGGCTGCCGTTCAAATTTTCATTTCGCCTAAAATCATCATTCAGTATAATTACGAAGGTATGATGAAAAAAATGGTAAGATAAACACTATCCAGGCGATCTGATTAAAGGTAACTGGAGCTTTGTTACTTTGAGTGAGGTTCGAAGCTATGGCCTACTAGTTGACAGTCGATTGTTCAAATCAGTAAGTCATAGCTCTGAAGAAAGTTACCTTTGCCTCCATTGAAAGCCTTTTCCTACGTGTTTCCGTTTATCTTCTGATAATTCGCATGAAGCATGGAAGCATTACAATACTTTCGGTATTATTTGATCAAGCAAATCTTTATTTCATCAGTATAAATCAGCATAAAATGTTCTGGAGATAGCTGATTCAAAGTGATACAATTTCAACAAACAAATTCTGCATACAACTTTTCCGTCAACTATTTGTAGAATTCGCTAAAATGCAGTTGATAAATTACTAAACTGAGCTGCTTTTGTATGTCAAAATCAAAATGAAACTGAGTAACCACTTGTACGATTTTCTAATAGGTGAAGAGCGACATCTGATCGACCAAATCTCAGAAGGTGTAGCGGAGTTCAAACCTATGAACGACTGTTCAAAATTTGACAGCCTAAAACGATACCATAGTAGATGAGATCCTGTTAGATGTACAGTTGTGTCTCACCTCCACATTATTCAAGTTTTAAGGAGATATATGTAGACAAACAGAAGGATTAGCAGTGGGATCACCAATATCCCAAATCGTAGCAGATATATTTATAGATGAGAAAGCATAGCTTTACAAAAGTTTAATCCTGCACCTAAGATATAGTGGTGATATATGGATGATACATTTACTGTGTTGAAATCGGAATATATCGACAATTACCTCACACATGTAACTAAGTAGTGGACGCAATCCAATTCATTTACCAAGTAGAAAATGAACAAGGAGAATTGCCTATGTTCGACGACAGAATAAAACGAGGGATAGATGGTGCATTAGATACTTCTGTCTACAGGAAACCAACACAACTTCAAGTCATCTCATCCAAAGTCAGTTAAGGCAGGTGTAGTCAAATGTCTACACAACAGAGTTAAACAAGACATTATTCCCTGCAAGGAGTTGAATCACAAGTACGAAGCGTTAATAATTATCCACTACTGATAAACGTAAACGACTTACAGGTATCGATATCATATCTATAATCCATTAAGTGTTTCATTATCAAGCTCCTTGAGGTATTCTTCTTGGCATACTTCAACCATTTGAGTAAATAGACGTCTCTCCGTACAACAAATGTACTTGCTCCCGCAGGTACTTTCAAATTGATATATATATTTTGATATGTCAAGAATTGGAGCCATATCTTTGCTTGATTGTTATAACAACTTTTTAGTAATGCGTAATAAGTCCTTCTGATAGACTTACTTCTTCAGTCTTCATCTAACTACTTCTAGTCCATTGTCACCTTTGAATGGTAAGGTGATACAGACTAATTTATTTTGCATTATTGTGTGTGTGTGCTTGTTGATAAAGCTTTCATCATTTCGTAGTTTAGTGTATCATTGAAACAAATTTTCCTAGTTACTCCCAACTGATGAGCACTAGTGAAATTTATGAATCCATTATATCCCTTGCCTTTTTCATATTCATCGATTGTTTTAAAATTCTATTAGACAGGAAAAAAGTATTTAACAGTATGGTAGAGAATTTTTAGTTACTACATTTAAAATTACTGAAATATTCTTATGATATTTTTCTGATTGTTGTTATTGCAATAGAGAAATTTGTACATACACACAAAAAAATTTTTCTTTCCATCTTTCAGTTATTTGTTTATTTATCAATAATCCTGTTTATTACTATTTATTGACATACTTGTTATTCTCCGTTATTTCATTGTATGGCATTGTTCGACCTCTTTCGGCATATAGGTTTCTATGCGGATGCCTCGATATTGCCTGAATTTTAATTATGATAATTTGACTGGTTGGTTGTGGCTAGCAGAAGAATGCACGAAGCGCGTTTCATCCTATTTGGAACTTACTAGTCAGCTGGATATACCTGAACCCCAGTGATGTTGTTTCCACTGAGACTCGAACCTCGTACCCAACGCTTCAAATGCCAAGGCGTTATCCACTATGTCACGATAGCCACTTCTTGTATAACGGGTAGTAGTTATTACTATTGATTGACATACTTGTTATTCTCCGTTGTTTTGTTGTGTTGGATCGAATTGTTCGACCTCTATTGGCATATGGGTTCCTTTGTGGATGCCTTGATATTGCCTGAATATTAATTAGGATAATTTGGTTGACGAGTCCCAAATAGAATGAAACACGCGTCCTGGATTCTTCTGTTAACCACAACCAACCAAATTATAGTAATCCTGTTTGTTTATTTTCGGAAATTAGATGTCCAACCAACTGGAAACAATTATTCCAATCACGTAAAATATTATAATTATATTCCTATATCGAGGTTATTTAACACAGAAGGAGATATTATATACATTGCTCTGTGTGTGTGTGTGTGTGTACGTGCATGCGTGTACCCTAATGAAACAAGAGTAAAATCTAAAAATTATAGTTTTATATCCTACAAAAATTGTATGAATGATTTGCGTGCATAAGTTGGATGACCTTACAATAACCAAGTGATCCTTAGTTCATGTTTACAATCCATTTACATTGGTAGGGAAAAGTAAAATCTACTAAGATTACTTACAATGAACTAATTGGTTGTAAGGTTAGAGTTAATGACGAATTAGGTTAGTAAGGGTTGATGAAAATACATAGAGAGATAAAACACTCACTTCTTTCTCTGTTGTAAGCGTTTAAATACCTTATCAGAGTATCAGAAATATACGACAAGCAGTGATATTGAAAGTTTAATAATAATAATTTGTACTGGGTGATTGAAGGTGAAGTGGAAATCTGGATCGCGGCCGGATTCGAACCAGCGACTACTGGGGTTACCGGCACGGTGCTCTACCAACTGAGCTACGAGGTCCGACAGCTGACCAGAATTTTACTTCACTTCAATCACCAAGGCGGGTTTCGCCCGACTACCATGTGAATTCGTCAAGCGTTACTACCGCTTGATCGTACTCTCACTGGCTGCCTGCCTAGTCAGAACTTCTTATGCCAATCCAAATCTAGCTGAATAAGAGAGGGGGAGCATCATATCGGACCTCGTAGCTCAGTTAGTAGAGCGCCGGGCCGGTAACCCGGTGGTTGCTGGTTCGAATCAGGCCGCAGTGCAGATTTTCACCTCACCTTCAATCATTCACCCAGTACAAACGCTAGTCGGCCAAACTATGGCTATCTTAGATAGTCAAATCATAATAATCGCTTTATTCCAAACAATATGGAATTCTCAGTATTTAATTTTTCAACAAATTCACTCCCAGAACAATACTTTCAGATGAAATGGTTATTGCATCTCTATGATGTCAGTAATAACAGTGATCAAGGCAATAATATAGAATACCCAGGTGGTTCTGGATGGGTATCCGGTCTATAATGATGAATCAACAGAAATTCAAGCGTAATTTTATTGGTGCTGGTTCATTCAGACAGTATAAAAAACTTGCAACTCATGCTAAGCATCTGGCAGATACAAATATGATGTACTTTTGTGCACCGAAAAGTTCATTTCCATTTGACAACATTTTTTCTCTGCTTTGTTACTGAATTGAGCAACACGAGAGTTGAAAACAGTTTAAAAATGTGCAAGAGTACATGACACATTCAAAGGTTATATTTAAACGTTTAAAACAAATCGAAAAGAAAGAATTTGATGAAAAATGTTCGATGGATAAATTTGGTAGCCCAAGGTTTAAGCAAGTCACATTTAACTATGAAAATCGATGAAAGCAAATCGGAAATACAACTCAGCAGATCATCCAGTAAACAATGAACAGAAAAATATTATACGACAGCCATTATTACTATCTTGTTGACAAGAGCTCAAAAGCGGTTCGAACTATTAAACTATTTAGAAGGAGTATTCATCATGGATTGACATCAGTTGAGGAACCATTGAAAATCTGGGAGCACTGGATAGCTGTTTCGTCCTAGTATGGGACTCAGCATTACGCACCCACAACCCGGATAGGGGTCGAACTCAGGACCTTCAGGTTTCCCGAGGAACGCGTTAACCATTCAGCTACTGGGTCGGTTTCCAGTGGTTCACAATTTTCAACTTCTGTCAATTTACGACATAGCGCGACCGTCACCCAAGGTCTTCAGTTAGCATCCACTTCACTTCCGACTGGTTGACCCCACAGATCGACCCCTAGTCGGGTGGTGGGTGCGTACTGCTGAGGAGTCCCATACTAGGACGAAACAGCTGTCCAGTGCTCTCAGATTTTCAATGGTTCTCCAACTGATGTCAGTCCATGATGAATACTACTTCTAAATTAAAAGTCCCCATTCATCTCAAAAATATATTAAACTATTGGTTGAAAGTTGACTGTCTACATTCATGAGTTACAGTTGTAAAATGATTGAAATTCTCTACTCAAATGAAGAATAAATAAATGAAATATCATGTGAAAGGAATTTAATTAACTGAAATTTGATTGCTAACACCCAACATCAAGCATTACATAAATTGTCACATTGTAAATTTTGAGAAGTAGACTTCCAACAGAATTTATCATTCGGTGAATAACTCGCGCAATTCAACAGCTT